TGGTCCAGGAGGTACATGTATTGTAGTCTTCAAATTCAAAGGAAAATTTTTGAAACTCCTGCCTCGATGTTTATTGAGTTGATATTTCCTAATGCCTCGAAGTCAGAAACACTAAAATCTTCTGAGGATGAAGCAAAAATAAAGCGGCAATTTGGAAAAATCCTAGAGCGTTGCTTAACACTTCAAAGTTTGTTACATACACGGATGTTTGACAAAAATTACATTGCCTATTACAGTGATATATGTTCTACTTTATATGTACATATAGGTGCACTTTCAAGCATTTTTAAAATTTGAAATTAACTGCACAGTGAAACAGTACTTTTGAAATGCCACTTAGATTTCCTCTACCTGAAATGCCTCCTCAAATTGAAAATACAGGGGAAAAAATGAAATTTTTGTCAAGCCTATAAAAGTGAAGTTCACTTTAAATGATCACTGTCGTATTCGCAAAAGTTCAGAGACATGTACCCGTAGTGCTAAGGATTCATAACATGAGATAAACTCTAAATTTTTACATTTCAAAACACAGTTTCTCATAAGTTTTGTAATAATATTGATTAGTGGTGGCAGTAAATTGAACAATGGCAGCGTACTGCTCAACAGAATGAAATGATGAATGTGCGACAACTATAGACGTCGTGTCGTATTTGTTAGCAAGCCATTATGTACAGCATTTATCAATCATCAGCATTCATGACAAAATTTTTCACTAAAGATTTAGCCCGAAATGTGCTACAGAATATAAATGCAAAAAGACATTAATTGGTACTAAATCCAATCCCAAGAAAACACACAACTGTGCTGTAATAAAAGACATGCAGTTATCAAAACACCTACTCTCAATTACATGTATGTTACATTTTAACATCTAAGAGGAGTTTAAACTGATCCAATATTTACCTTCTCACTACGAGAAAAATTTATTGCTAGTCACCAGTTCTTAGTTTAATTGACATTTAGTAGCACAAACATTTCCACTAATTCATGGTTACAGTCATTTTCTTCGCCCAAACTGAGAATACAGAAAAGAAGGTGACAGCCGTCAATGACAAGGCATTAAGACTACCAAATAAAGCCGATTTTGAAAGCTGAATTATACACTAAGACGTATTTCTTTCACTTTCTGTTTCTGTGATTCATTCGCTGTGTTCCTATAAGGTCCATTTTTATTCTTTTTCTCTGTCGTAGGCATGTGGGGACACTCGTTCAAAAGTTATTTCATTAAATTTACACTCTCTCCATTAAGAGTTTTTCAGCTTCTCATCTTTTGAAATGTTCACTTCAACGTAATGAAGTCATAACGACACTTGAGTAACTTATACCCCCCAGCATGTAATCGCCCCATTAGTTACGGCCTCATGGCCATGGTTTGTTCTGGTTTGTTTCAAGATATACGATCTTCACTTTTTGATTCCCACTTTGGTATTTGAGTCATTTTGCCCACGTCACATTTCTCGTATTTTCATGCTGCAACTTCTGAAAGAATAATACTTACCGCGGAATGTGTTCCATTTCAGCCCCATTTCTCCAGGATACGGGTAATACTCACTGTTTAAGTTGGACATCAGTCCATTTCTGATCCACCACGCCCCCTTGAAATGAGCCACAAGGGCAGTTCCTTCCCACGATACTTCGTATGTTGTAAAATGCTCATCTTTGTGAAGAAAAAGAGCATCACCAGCAGTACTGTTGTTATCATAATAGGCATAATGCAGACTGAACAAGTTTTCCTCACTTGAAATCTTGAAATCCTTGTACTTGGCCCAGGCTTCGACCCCATCCCAAGCTAGTATGTCAACACGCAGGTCCCACTTGTATTGTGATGAACGGTTGAGGATCAAACTGACCAAGTTGTTGCCTAGCCAAAATTCGCCTGACAGATCACCAAAGCCAGACCTGTACTCGCTCCACGTGCGGTGGAAGTTCTCACTGCCATTTTGTCGTCTCTGAAAGACAATCCATCCTCCTCTGTCAGTTTCCATGTCACAGTAGACTTCCAGACCAGGGCTTATCCTGGCTGGGTGGATGGTGTAGACACCGCTGTTATGGTTACCTGCCTCCAAGAGCTGCTTACAACTTCCGGCGGGTGCGGTGGATTTTTTCACAGATGCTGAGGTATTTTGGGAAAGTGCTGGGGAATTGTCATCAGACATCGAAAATTGATGTGTATTCTTATCTTTGTCAAAGTACACATTCCCTTGTTTTTCGAGGAGTCTTTCAGGATACTGTAATCTTGAGGAGTTGTTAAGTGTGCACAGTTTGTCCAGTTTGTTGAAGTTGATGGACCTGCAGTTCTTATCCATCATACACTCCTTTCCACAAATGGTTTGGGAGGGAACTGTTTGTTTCATGTAATCACAGTTTTCTAAGGCTCGATTTGCTGCGCCGTATAATGTTTGACTTTGCTGACTGCACTGTCCAACACCAGAAGCAGGAACAGCAGTGCAAAAGAATGTTGCCACGAGGACAAAAAGCAATACTTCAAAATCCGAGAAATAGCAAGCCATCTTGGATGCAAATTAAAATCAACTAAAACACCTATCCAGGATATCTGCAAAGCATCCACTGCTTTTGTCTTTCTAGATTTGGTTTCTGTGGTTTCCAAATTGGCTGTACAGAAAAAGAAATGCCTGGAGCCTGCTGAAATCCCCCTTGCATGGAGTGAGGCTGTTATTTCCTTTCAGCTGGAAATCACTTCAGTTGCCGATCATCAGCAGCGTAGTGAAACAAGATTGCCAGAAATACAAGACAGCACTCTCCAGAAGTGTGATTGGCTGTCCCTCAGTGGCCGGCTCTGAGCAGAAATTGTAATTGGTGCTTTGCAATTAGCTTTTGGTTGAGAGATTTGGGTCGTAATTTATCTTCATTACTTCCACACCAATTCTTCCTTTTTGAAAATTTTATGACACAATTACAGTGCTTGTCACAGTCATTGTGACTGATGTCAAGTTATTGATTGTTGCCTCAAAGTAAGGCCAGCGAAGTTGTTGAAATGCTTGTCAATAGTCGGTGGTCAAGCATGGATCCATGCACACATTACCTACATGTACATGTATATTAGGGGCCATTCATAATTTTTGATAATATTTAATTTCAATTTTTTTCATGATTGGGTGGGTGGATCAAGGTAAACAACTGAAAATTGAAATTCATTTCGCATTGAAAAAAGAAAGAAAAGAGATCGACTTTAGTGAACTACATGTGCCATGCCAGCATTCTGCATTCTTTTGCAATTTCGTTCTGAGTTACGGATAGACTGACCTGTGTATCGTGTATGGTGTGAAACTCCATGGGTGAAGGTGGGTTTTCTTAAAACTTGTTGGCTGCATCCAAATCTGTTATCTAGAACTGCCTATAGGTCTAGGTCTTCACTCTGTTGGAATACGTTGAGAAGTCCTTACAACAGACCTTGCCATAGCTGTGGAAGCCCTTATTTGGAGCATTAGCTGAGAATGCTAAAACCAATGTAATCATGTAAAACCAATACACAGGTATCTGCACCGTACAGCATAATCTGACGGCAAACACATGTACATGTACGATGTCATCTAAAATTGGATGAATTTTTCAATATATGTTTGAGTAGATAAGGCAACCCATTTCAGGTAATGCGCCGCTGTGTAAAATCATGTCAGTATTTTACATTTTTCTATCTGGGACTTCAGAGTGAAGCAAAACGAGAGCGTTGTGACAAAAAATAAATGTACATTGTACACAATCAATGGAATAACAGCCACGGATGCGGAAAAAGGAGCTTTTATACCGAGAGCATTATACCAGGATGTGCTGTAATAAGAATTTGTACATGCTGCGTGGCATTCAACATATTCACTACGATGCATGCTATATAACATTGAATGAACAAAACCAGTTTTTTTAAATTGAAAATGGGGATGGGTGAGTCAGAACGATTTAAAAAAAATCTAATTTAAAAGCATCAAAAATTTTGAATGGTCCTTTAATCAAGCATGAATCCAACACACATTACCTACGTGTAAAATTACCTACATGTACATGTAACTTCTGTGATATCAAGAACGATTGAAACAATTTGTAAATCTTCAATCTGATATTTTTATGACTTAACATAATACCAGAACATGTATGTTAGCATTACCCTACTTAACACAGGAAATAATTGCATGGGCCACTTTGGAACTGGTCTGATAAATAGAATTCTTACTTCAAAAAGGTATTTACAGTTAATTAATTCAGCAGCATTTTTTATCCTTTTATAAATGTAAAGTGTTGAGAATTACATATTTGTTCCAACTACATGTAAGGACCTTAATGCATCAACTTACATGTAGTTATTCCAAACTCAAAAAATTTAGGCTTATCTGCTCATTGTTTATATAAAAATCGACCAAAAAATATAAATATTCATCACCACTTCACGAGACAGTTTTTAGACTTCCACTTCGCTTTGGACTTTTTGGGGTCAAACTTACCAAGACAGTGGTTACTTTTAATTTCCATTTTAAGTGCAATGGGGGACATCCAAGGAAATCTTCCTCTCTCTTACTTTTACTGAGCCGCATGGTCATTTCTACTGGCCAACTTCTTCCCAGGAAAAATTACTGAGACACTTTTCCTGAGACCAAAAGTCCAGTGCAGACAATGTGAGTAAAAGCATGTGAAAGTGGCCGATGGAGTGTACATCCGGCCCTAGCACAACGGCATGCTGCATACAGGGAAACTACGCATGTGCGTTGCACGTTTCATCGCGGTATGGCCTGTGGCGAATACTTCCTGTTAATTTTTTTCCTCTTTTGGTGACAATCATAATAGAAATTGTTATTGACACTGTTGGAAGATCAGCTGGTGTTAAGAGTGCACCATTTAGAGATGATAATGAGGTCAGAAACGTTGTGTCTAAGTACGAAAATAAATGCAGAAAGGTCACGTAAAATGCCCTCATTGCATTGCCAGCTTGGTAAAATTTTCCAGTGTCGGAAGTCCAAGTGTGGACAGTGGTCACATTTGACCATTTTTTTATTTGACCATCGACTCGGTAAAACTGACCGAAAAAAGTCCAGTGTGAACACGGCTTGAAGGCCATTAACCATGGAAATTCATTAGACTCTTATTCCTTGAAAGTACTGGCAGTTAATTCCTATTTAAACACAAATAAGAAAAAATTACTTGTTACATAATTACTTGTAAATTAGTCTGGCATTAATGGAGTTTTACTGGTAATGTATATGTCCCTTGTAAGAATTGTTATGTTTATATTTTTAAATGTGTGTCATGGGTTCTTGTTATACAGCCCAAATCTTTCAAAATCTTCCATATGTACTCACACAGGGAGATTTTGGGGGATTAAGAAGTTAGAAGTAGGGTTAACCCATGTAGAATTAAACCCATGAGTATTTCCAACCAGAAAGAAAACTATTGAACCTTTTTCAGAATCGGGGGTAAGATGCATTTTTGAATTGATTATTTCACCTGATTTTCAGCCCAAGATCACCATCTCCTTGGAGATGTACACATCCAACAACTTCACTGTAAAGCAGACGAATTTTCCTCAGAGCCTGCATGAAGGGGATCGAGTTTACTTTGAAGTTGGTCTCTTGGAGAGTCTGCAACTCGGTATCGTTCCCAGCCAGTGTTGGCTGTCACCTGCTGCCAATACGTTGACGGACAGTGTACATTATCTAATATACAAGGGGTGAGTCCGACAGTTGAACCAAATTTTTGCACAACTTTTTTCTCAGTGGCTCTCTTTCCCATA